AGGAAGGGGAATGTGTGCGTGGGTGTGTGTGTGTGTGTGTGTGTGTGTGTGTGTGTCCCCCGAGCCTCTCAGGGAGGTTTGTGGTGTCATTCAGTCCTGTAACGACTCATCCCTCCTCCTCCACCCAAATCCTTCCCGGGATGGTGTGGACCTACCGGGGCTGGGGCTGGGTGGGGGTTTGGGACTCAGGGATGGGGCTCAGGGATGAGGTTTGGTGTTCAGGCCTGAGCTTTGAGGTTAAGGGCTGGGATTTGGGGTTCCAGGCTGAGGTTTGAGGTTGAGAGTTGGAATTTGGGGCTCCTGGCTGGGGTTTGGTGTTCAGGGCTGAGGATCAGGGTTCGCTGATGACTGCAGAGTCCCCTCCTGCTCCCAGGGGTTGGGATTCATCTGGTGGACACTCCAAGACAGACAGATGGACTGCAGGTCCCGAGTGCCTCAGCCTCTCACCTCCACCCCCCCATTACAGACCTTACAAGCACAGGATGACTAAGCAGGTTTAACACTGTATGAGCATTTTTATTACTATTTTAGGGTGTCTGTGCTGCCACCGTGGCTAGGAGGGCCATTACCCCCTGTGCCGACCAGCCCGGGTCACCCTTGGGATGGGACCAGAGGACAGGTTTGGCATCTTGTCCCTTTGCCGGCAGGGGTCCATGACTCCATGTCCCCCCAGAGCTGTCAGGTGCTCACACTGGAAAAGACCCTTTTTCTCCCCGTTTTCGTGAGGAGCCAGCGAGGTCCAGCCGGTGCCCACTCAGCCGTGGGCAGGGGCACTCCCGTGCCAGGGGTGATGCTGACTGTGGGACCAAAGCCCAGCCACGGGAAGGGACATTCCAGGCGGGTCCGTCCCGTCACATCCGGAGCTGAGGTCCCTTCTCGGGGCTGGTGCGGGCAGGGGGCTGGGCGGGGCTGGGGCTGGCCCGCATCCCCGTGGGGATGTAGTACAGGCTCTCCAGGTACCCACAGTCGGGACCCCCGGTAGCAGAAGCCCCCTCACCCTTGGGAGCAGAGCTGGGGGTCCCGGCCGAGCCGGGGTTGTCGGCGGCGGGCAGGTCGGGGTGTGGCGGGGAGGGAGCGGAGGGTGGGGGCGGTGCCGGGAGCCCCGGGAAGCCACCGTAGGGTGTGTAGGATGGGCCATAGACCCCCGGGGCCACGACCAGGGGGTTGAAAGGTGCCTGGTAGAGCCCGGTGTGAGATGCCACTGGTGGGACGAGCACCTCCAGGTACTGCCCAGTCTCGGGGTCGTAGAGTGTTTTCATCTGGGGCTGCCGCGGGGGCTCCACGTAGTAGCACTTCCCGCTGCTGGGATCGACCAGCATCCTCCGCTGGGGGGGCAGGGGGGCGGCCAGGGGCTTGGGGGGGCTCTGCCTGCTCCTGCCACTCGGTGAGGCAATGTCAGTCCTCCTTAGGAAGTGGGGACCATCCTCCAGGTGGGGCTGGGCTGGGGGCTCCGCAGTGGCTGGGCCCTCGGGGGGCCGGGGCAGGGGGGGCTCAGGGCTGGGTTTGCTCCAGGGTGCTTCCCCACCAGCCAGGGGATACAGCCCCGGTCCCAGAGGAGCACTGGCTGGGTTGGGGACCAGAGGGGATCCAAAGAAAGAGCTGGACATGCTGGAGACTGACGGATGCCCAAGGGAAGCTGGGACTGGGTTGGTGACCAAGGGGGATCCAAAGGATGAGCTGGTGGGGTTGGGGACCAAGGGGTTCCCAAAGGATGCACTGGATGGATTGGGCACCAAGGGGTTCCCAAAGGATGCACTGGATGGATTGGGCATCAAAGGGTTCCCAAAGGATGCACTGGATGGATTGGGCACCAAGGGGTTCCCAAAGGATACACTGGGTGCATTGTGGACCAGCGGGGACCCAAAAGATATGGTGGATGGATTGGGGACCAAGGGAGACCCAAAAGATGCGCTGGATGGATTGGGGAACGAGGGGGACCCAATGGATACGCTGGTTGGATTGGAGACCAAGGGGTTCCCAAAGGATGTGCTGCACAGGTTGGGAACCAAAGGGGTTCCAAAAGACTTGTTGTGGTTGGAGACCAAGGGAGCCCCAAATGATGTGCTGGCCAGGCTGGAGGCAGATGGGTAGCCAAAGGATGAGTTAGTCACATTGGAGGTCCCAAAGGATGCACTGGACAGGCTGGGGACTGCAGGGGTCCCAAAGGATGTGCTGGCCAGGTTGGGGATCAAAGGGGTCCCAAAGGATGTGCTGGCTGGATTGGGAACCAAGGGGGTCCCAAAAGATGTGTTGGCTGGGCTGGGGACTAAGGGGGTCCCAAAGGATGCACTGCCTGGGTTGGGAACCAAGGGGGTCCCAAAGGATGAGCTGGCTGGGCTGGGGACCAAGGGGGTCCCAAAGGATGCAGTGCCTGGGTAGGGGACTGAGGGCAGCTTTGGCATTGGTGAGGATTTGGGGGCTCTCTCGGGCATTGCCAAGTAGTTGGAGTTGTCAGGCGGGTGTGGCTCTGTGGCTCCCGGCCACTGCGGTGAGAGCTCCCAGGGCTCCCTCCACTCTGGCAGCTGCCCGGGGGCACCGTCACCTCTCTCCCCGGCTCGGAGAGGGGCAGAGGGGCCGGTGCCACCAGCAGAGCCGCCACTGCCCACTGACACCCTCCAGCTGCCCAGCGGCTCCTGCCTGTGCTCGCCGGCCCGTGGCTCTGCCAGGCTCCTCGCGGCCGGTTCCGCGGGCCGGGGGTGGGTGCTGCCGCCGGCCGGGGGTCCTGCCCGGGGGTCCCCGCTGTCACTGACGCCAAGCCACTGCCCCGTCACCTCGCACCCCTTGGCCATGTGGAGCCCTCCAGTGCCACCAAGGCTGCGTCCCTCCTTTCCCTCCATGGGACCGGGTGGCGACGGAGGGAGGAGAACGGTCTTCTCTGTCCGCAGCACGGCGCTGCTCTGGGCCGGGGAGCCCTCCCTGGCCACCGGGGACGGCCGACCCACCAGGACGTGCAGGTGGGTCTCCACGTGCGGCACCCCCTCGGCCACCGGCGCCCGCGGTGGCACCCTGAGCTCACTCCGCTCCCGGCGCGGGGGGGACACCGGCGGATCCTCCACGGTGGCCGCTTCCCTGCGCGTGGCCTGGACCCTCGTGATGTTGATGGGGGAGCTGTGGGTGGGCGAGGGCTGGCTGCCTGGGGGCTTTGTGGGCCCCTCGGCACACACCGGGGCCGGCTCTTGGCCGGCGGCTGCCGGCACCTCCTCCCCTCCCGGCTCGGCCGCGGGCTCCCGGCGGCGCACGGAGGTGCAGTGGATGACCAGCGGGGTGGCCGGGAGCGGGTCCCCGCTCCTCGCCGGTGCCGTAGTGCCACGGGATGCGCCGGCAGTCCCGAAGCTGAGGCTGTAGCTGCTCTTCACCAGCTTGCGCACGTCTCGGGGCTGCGGGACGCGCCCCTTCCCCTTCTCCTCTGGCTTGGGGGGGATGGCCGGTGGGGACCTCCGGGGTGCCGGGATGCCAGGGCTGGGTGGCCGGCGGGGCGCTGTCGGTGGCTTCTCCTCCGGCCGGCTCTGCGGCAGCTTTCTCATCTCCTGTGCCCGGGGGGCGAAGTGACGTCGCGGTGGCGTGGCGGGGAGTGCCCAGCTGTCGGCCTTGAAGGGGAGGGCTTGAGAGCGGCTGGGGCCGATGGCTCGCTCCTTCAAGCTGGGCCACGGCTTTGGTGCTCTCCCAAATCTGGGGGCAACATCCAGCACCTTCCCCACCCCGGGCTGGCCTTCGAACAAGGCGCGCGCTCGCTGGTAGCAGATCCTCTCCGACGTCTGTTCCTCACTGGCACTGGGCAGCCAGCGGCCCTCCAGCACCTCCTGGTACTTCATCCTCTGGTTGAGCTCATTGAAGGTCTTCCTCAGGTTGCAGACAGTCTCCCTGGTCGCCTCGCTCAGCACCACCCCCTTGGTGGGATGGGTGGTGGTGGTGTTCCCCACGGACACGGGCATCCCGCCGCCCCGCAGGTCCTCGGCCGAGAAGCTGCAGTCTGAGCGCGACAGTGAGCTGGACTTGCCCTCCAGACCATCCACCAGCAGGTCGGTGCCGGCGGAGGACGGCCCCGAGGAGGTGGAGCTGCCCCGCAGCCCCTTCTGCTCCATCTTGATGCGTTGCTCGTACTGCATCTTCTTGGCCAGGACGTTTTTCACGAGGCACGAGGCCGCCCTGGTCCTGTCGGTGCCGCTGTCCAGGGAGGCCGTCTTCATGAACTGCTGGTAGTTGAGCCTGAAGTCGTCGCCGATGGCCCTGCCCTTGCTGGGGGGCTCCTTCCTGGCAGGGGGCTGGGGCTGGGGCGCCGGGCCGTCTCCCCGGGGGCCAAACCCCGTCTCCTTCCTCTCCTTCCTCTTCAGCAGGATCTGGCGCTTGGGCACCGTCCTCTTCTTGCCGTGGCCTTTCCTGGCCTCTCCGCTCTCCAGCTCCACGTCCACGCACTCGAACTGCTCCTTCCCCAGCAGCTCCCCGTCCACGGCGGCGGGGAAGGGCCAGCCCACCCTGCCGTGGAGGGCCGTCCCTGCGCCCCGGGGCTCCCCGGCGGCCGCCGGCCACCGCCGCGGGCGCCCGCCGTCCTCCGACAGCGAGTTGGAGAGGCTGGACGAGGTGTGGGAGCTGCACATGTCGAGGCGGGCTCCGGGGAGCCCCGAGAGGCTGCGGAAAGCCCTGGCCGTCAGCGCCTGCACCTCGCCGTCCAGCTCGTCCGAGTCGCTGGGCGCCCCGCCGAGCATCCCCCCGGGCTGCCGGGGCACCGCCGGCTCCCCGCCCGCCGCCGCGGCCGTCCCGGGCTGCCGGTCCCCGCCGCGGGGACCCATCCTGCCCCCCTGCCCCGGCGCTGGGCTATTCTTAGCCGGGCCGGACAGCTGAGCCTGCTGCGGGCGGGCGAGGGGGCCGGGCGGGGGATCGCCGGGGGCCCCCGCCGGAGCCCAGCGCTCCGGGGCAGCCCGGGGGGGCGGCCCCTCCTCGTCCAGATACTCCAGGCAGTCCTTGAAGGTCTCCGTGCCGTCCGAGCACAGCGCGGAGTGGTAGGAGGACACGGAGGACCCCGACATGCTCTTGGCGAGGTCGTCGCGGGGCAGCCCGGGGAGGTTTCCCTCCTCCTCCTCCTCCGCGGACCGCCGGCCGTTCCCCCCCGGGCGGGGACCGTCGCCGTCGGGGCCAGGCAGCTCGGCGGGGGACAGCGGCACGGGGTCCCTCTTCGCGCGGGGCATCACGGCAGGGGGGGCCCCGGCGGAGCCAGCCGGGGCCGGGGGACCCTCCTCGGTGCTGGGGCTGCTCCGCCGGGGCCGGGGAACCCTCCTGGGTGCGGGGGCCGCTCCGCCGGGGCCGCTGGCTCGTCCTTCTGGCTCGCCCGCCGTGCCGGCGGCTGGACCCGGCGGGGCAGAGCAGCCCCTCGATCACATGGACTCAGCGAGCGCCAGCCGGGCGAGCCGATGCCAAGTGCATTGCAGGGATGCCACGGCCGCCCCCGGCCTCGGGGACCTGCCGGGGGGCTGCCGGCACCACCCCCTGCCCCCTCGCCCTGCAACGCTGCTCCCCAAACCCCCGGGCGAGGTCCCAGGGCATCCCTACACCCCACACGGGTCCCCGGGTGTGTGATCCCGTGGAACGAGCTGGGCTGCCCCGGAGCTGGGGGACCTGCAGACCCCTCTGGGGATGCCCCATCCCCGCTGCTGAGGGCACAGCAGGGTCCCAAAGCTGCAGCTCTGTCCCCCCCATGTCTCCTTTCCCAGCCCCTCTGCCCACCTCGCCACAGGGACGGTGTGTCCCCATGCTGTGGGTTCCCCAAACCCCACCCTGCCCCAAGCAGTGGCTCCCTCAGATCTAATCCAAGTGGCCAGGAACAAACTGAAGGCTTGGGATGACCCCGGGCATGGAACACCCCTGGGACTCACAGGAGCTGACCGATGGACCGCTACCATGTGTCTTTTTTGGGGAGACCCAAAGCCAGCAGCTGGGGTGGCTGGTGTGGCACGAGGGTCTCTGCAGCTTCCTGGCCCAAATCGCTGCCGGTGGAGCCCAGTCCCAGCTTTTGTGGGGATTTTTGCTGTGAAGCAGCAGTAGCAGGTGCTCCCCAGTGCTGCCAGCCCCAGAGCAACCTGATGCCCAAGTCCTCTGGGTTCATGCAGAGACTAAATTTAAACCTTGGCAAGGAGAAGGAAAGCTTCCCAGAGAGCTGGGTTGGCGCTTAACCCTTCGTTGGGCTGAGTTTGCAGGTGGCATTTGTACCCAGGGGAGCAGAGGGTACCTTGCCATGGGCAGCACTCACTGGCACAGTGGCCTTGGGCAATAGAATGTGTGTGTGATTTCAAATTCCCAAATCCCTAAATCCCACCCTTTCTTCATGGAAAGGGTGGTCAGGCACAGGTTCCCAGGGCAGTGGTGGAGTCCCCCATCCCTGGAGGGATTTAAAAGACATGTAGAAGTGGCACTTGGGGACAGGGTTGGGGGTGGCCTTGGCAGTGCTGGGGGAGCAGTTGGACTCGATGGTCTTAGTGGGCTTTTCCAACCTAAGTGATTCCATGATTCCGTGGAATATTGATTCTATAGCTGGGTCACTGCTGGCTCCAACCCTGGGGACGTGCAGGCAGCCCCTGCCTGCTGCTGGATTTGCAGTGCCAGGGGATGTACAGACCCACAGCACAGCGGGGGATGTGGTTCCCCTCCAGCTGAGCTGGCTCCTTGATCCCAGCTGCTCCAGATTCCAGCAGGATGCTCTTTCATTCTCCCTCCTCTGCCGAGGGTCATACCCAGGATCCCAGTGGCACCTGCAGCTGATGGGAACAGGAGGTTTGTCCAGCCCAGGTTCACTGGTGTCCCACTGAGCCTCCCAGGGTGTCTCACTGATGCATTTGGTGCATCTGGGTACCAGTGCTGGGGGTGAGGAGGAGGCAGGGAGGGCACAGGGACAGCTGTGGGAGTGGGGAAGCTCTGGATAAGGTAAAATAATGAACTCAGCAGGAGGAACCCTGCGGGCACAAAGGGAAAGGTCCTTGTGCTCCTGCCTGCAGGTCCTGCTGTCCTGGCAGTGCTGAGAGGCAGATTTAGGGCAATGACTCGTGTAACTGCTGTAAACCTTTCACAGTCACACAACCACTGACTGGTTTGGGTTGGAAGGGACCTTCCACCCCCTGCCACGGGCAGGGACACCTTCCAGTGTCCAAGGTTGCTCCAAGCCCCATCCAACCTGGCCTTGGACACTTCCAGGGATCCAGGGGCAGCCACAGCTTCTCTGGGCAACCTGTGCCAGGGCCTCCCCACCCTCACAGGGAACAATTTCCTCCCAGTGTCCCACCTAACCCTGCCCTCTGGCAGTGGGAAGCCATTCCCTGTTGTCCAGGCCCTTGTCTCCAGTCCCTCTCCAGCTCTCCTGGAGCCCCTTTAGGCCCTGGAAGGGGCTCTCAGGTCTCCC